TTTGAAAAAACTGTGGAAAGTAATTTAATACATATGAGTGGAAGGCAAAGGATGGATTATATTAATCAAATCTGAAATTAAGAGGAATATTTTGGACCGCTAAAGTGTACTTTTTTGTTTGAAAACCACAAGTCAATAAAAGTGGACACAAGAAACTAGTTGGTCGGAGCTCAGTGTGTTTGATTGCAAGAAATTACGGATGTACAAGTAAATCCGAAAAACTTTCATCTTTAGTGATCAGCTATCTAATGAGTGACTTGCAAGATATGTTACGATCATAAAAAAAATAAATGAAAATGAAGTAATTACTAGTACGGCCACGACAGAGACCTTATGCATATCTTGTGGAACGGGAGAACACAGATTAAAAAGCAGCCCAGGACGAGCGGAATTATTTTCGCGGAGGAATGAGCTGAACCCCATTAATGTCAAGCTGTCCGAGCCATCATTTAGGGACGTTTGTTGAAACGATTTTGTTAGCATTATAAATGATCACTGGCGATGCGCACTGGGCGGACCCGTGCGAACATGCGTTTTTGAAGTGTTTGGTGCTGTAATAAGATCATTCGAAATTCTGCAAGCTAGAAACCTCTGACATACTGTTCCTGGAATTTCGAGAAGTTAATTATCCATGTTATACTTGGACAGGGAAAATTCCCTTGAAATCCCAGATTCCCAGATTTCTTAGTTCCCGAGTTATCCAAATTCCAGCCAGAAAATTTCACGGGGTCGTAAGTGGCAACCGCGCATAACGGGGGGCTGAATTTGATAAAATTAAGTTGCAGTTGATTTAGGAACATTTCCTGAAAGTTTCAGTCGCCCAGCTTCCTTGGCTCCGGAGTTATCCATTTCTCCGCCAAAAATTTTCATGGGGCCATACGTGATAACCATGCATAACGAGAGGCTGAATTTGATAAATTTAAATATGATAGACTGTAGGTGAACTGGGAACATTCGCTGAAAGTTTCAGCCCCGCAGCTTCCTTGGTTCCCGAGCTAGCGATTTTTGCGCCAGGAATCCTCACGGGGCCGAACGCGGGAACGCACACACCTGGAGGCTGAATTTAAAATCTTCGAGTTTTGTATGGACGGGAAACATAATACCAAAATATTAGCCTTCTAGCTTTTCTGGTTCCCCAGTTTGCGATTTTCCCGCCAAAACTTTGAGGCGCTCGTACACGAGACCTGGAGGTGCGTGAGGATTGGTGCCGCTGTCTTGGGGTGGCACATGGCCGGGGAAGCCACTCGCAGCTTGCTTGGGTGCCGGAGTTGAAATACCCGGACAGACGCACGCACACACACACACACACACACAAACACACACACATATACACACATACACACACCCACACACACACACCACGGTCGTCGCAATATGCGTTTTGCAAAAACACAGAAAAAGCAGGGGCTATCTTATTTTCTTACAACTTTTATTCGTCTAGTTTAAGCAGTTTTTGTCCTTGAAACTGATAACTGAATTCGTTTCAAGCAGTATCAGTATTCTTCAAATGTTTATGTGAATATTACGTATTATCCTGCGCTGCCAACACTGCTGCGTAATGGAGGTTTTCGACTGAATTTGATACCAAGTCGAAAGATAACAAGTGATGATGGGAATGATATTCGGGAAACGAATGGCAACATCATGCACACTTTACCTCCACTGGTATGTTCACTTTCCCATATTACTGTTTGTACTACTGCAGGGCGTATTCTTACATGAGCAGAGGAGTGAAAATGGAGCTTCTAAAGTCCGCAATTTGATATGTAAAGTTAAAAGAATCTCAGACTTTAGAATGAGTCAGGATACAAACCAAAATTTTTTAATTTAAAGCATAGTGTGGGCTGAATCCAAGACAGTATTTTAAATTCCTCTGCGATCTGAACTTAGGAAAAAATTCTTGCAAAAAACAAGTCGAAAAACCGCTATGACAAGATAAAACCACTTGCTTTTGTTGCTTTTAAATGCGTTGTTCACTTCGTTCACAATAGTTTGATGGCGCTGGAACTTTGTTGAATGCGACTACGTATTTGGAAATAGTCATAAACCATCTGAAGGTTTCTATCTTTTTTTAATACGCCTTGCTAAGCAAATCTGACATTGACTTCGAAGGAGGAACAACTCGAAAGAGTACCAATGCTTCTACCACTTTCATCCGATCGTTCGGTCTGTCGGTTTGGTAATCCGATACACTTACAGATGCTACGCAGGTCTGTGCTAGATCCATAAGTTCTGAAGTGTATGTTTCAAGTTAACATCTGAGGATTTGAACTATGCAAGGACGCTGCCCATTCGGAATTCCGCTGTGCAATAATTACTCTGAATGATGAATACATTCCTATATGTGTGCTTATATTTGTAGGCATGCTTCAGGTAATGATGAAAATGACACTTCCGAATATCTTATCAAAGGATCGTGCTGGTGAAATTGGTCCATTTACATTGGACTGCCGAATAAAGGATAATGTTTTTGGCTATGAATTTGATAATATGAAACAATTTGGCGGCCAAACAGCTGTTTCATTCGACTTTGTGCCACGATTTTCCTAAAATGTTTTTAATTGGTGAAATGAAAAAGCGCCTATTGCTAGAAGATTATCCATGTTTGTGATTGTGTATTTGTGTGCGTCGAAAATCGCTGTGTCAGGAATGCTGGTTACTTTACGTCAGGCGGCCTGATTAAGCGCTTTGCCCACTTATAATCCGCGAGGAAATTTCCTGGGTTGAAACTGTGTTCCATCTTGCAAATTAGGGGAAGATTAAAGACAAATGCCGTTTTTAGGACCTTTTTGCCAAAAAAGACGTCACGTTATGCAAAGTACGTGATTTTCCGAACAACTCGCGCAAAGTTAACTAACTAAAAAAAAGTGATTTAAGAAATCTGCAACCATGAATTTCGATCAAATTTTCAATTACATTTTTTAAGAACATTCTAGAGAACAAAGGATAGAGGAGAAATAATGATATTAAATTCTGCGGTTTTGATGCGGAAAAGATGCAGTTATCTGATTTCTTGTCGACACCAAGCCTGTACTTTGGGAATACTAAGCACGATCTGGCACTTTACGCCGTGTTATTTGGCCTTTGTGAATCTCGTCCACTTGTGACGGGCGAAGATTTCTGAGTTTAAATCCTTTTCATCGTGCATATTAGAAATGGATTAAAGATGCTTGCCGTTTTCTAGGCCTGTTTAAAAATTGTTGCAAATCGAAAAGTCAAACAAAAAAAGTACACCGAACTGGAATATGCGAATAATCAGCACGACACCTATCCAGCAATTAATTATCATGCGTGAGGAAGTTATAGATTTATTAGTTTCATTTGGCTAAATAAAACTGGAAATGGCCTCAACCCGAAGGTTAATGGTGAAAGCTTGGCCAGATAGAAAACAAATTTAGCACGAATTCACTCAGAATTGGGATCAAGATTTGAAACGAAACAACGTAAGGGACGTCAGAAGTTCCTAAAGTGAGAGTTGCACAATTCACTGCGTGACTTTACGCTGTGCCAGCAAAGTGGTTAATGGAACTTTTTGGAAGCCTGTGCAATGTCAAATAACGTTGCATATAAAAGTTTTGGAAAATTCATAAGCTTCAATTTTGGCGAAATTTTCAAATTTTTTTTCGGAACATTCTAGAAAATATGGAATAAGGGAAAAATTATGGAACCTGATGTTGGTGCTTTTCTCCCGC